CCACTGCAATGGTGACTCCATTGTCCCAATCCTGAGGTGGAAAGGACACAGGACTGCAAATCAAGAGAATTGGCCTCATCTTGGCTTGCTTTATGCTTCCTGGAACTCAGTTTAACTGCTGTTATGTGTAGGGATAAGATGGAGGATCCTCTGTGTGACGCTGGGGAATACCCCAAACAACCCTGGCCCTTGATTCCTTTATCTGGAAAATGAACGGTTGGATTAGATGGATGGCGTTTGAGGTCTCTGCCAACTCTAAATCTGTGATAAACCAGGCTACTTATATTTCTATAGCTTTGCAAAATGCATTCTTCAAATTCTACCCAATGATACTGATTTGACCTCTGCCTGCCTGTGGTCAGAGGTAAGCCTATGTGGTTCCCCCATCCCCCCTTTCAGTTTTGTCTTAAAGAAACAGAGATAGAAGTCAATGAACTTTAACCAAAAACTTTATATGGCAGGTAGGAGCAGCATGGTTCACAGTTGTCATCAACCATACAGTATCTCTCCATCATGAAAACTGAAAATAAATTAGAAACTTGTGAAACAGCACTCACAGCACATCCAGGCTAGTGGGAACACGCCATGCAGTATGGGGAAAAAGCCTTGCCATGCATGCGTCAGAGGGATTTACAAACATCATAGTCGGGGTTCATTTCACTGTTGTTCGCACTCACCTGTGGGTTGCAATTTTGGCCTCTGTGTGTGTGTTTGCAGACAGTTGGTTTTTTGAAGTGTGCACGTGCTTGGCTTTGTCATTGCTGCTCGTGTCATTGAGACTTACATTATGTTTGGGTTGTCCAAAGAACCCAAAGAGGTTTCATAAAAGTTTACAATTACACAGTAACATTTAATTTAATGGATGGAGCAAGCGAAAAAACCAGAGCTCAAGAAAACAAGCACCAGGACCAATCATAGTCAGATTACGTGTCCACGTACACAACGCACTAAAGCTCTAATACGAGGACATGTGACTGCTAGTTGTTGGGGCGAATTCTAGAAAGCTACTGGGTTGGTGCCAAGAGAGTAACCCAGGAACAGAGTGGGTTTTCTGTTCCGATTTCAAGCCCCTCATGCTGTTCTCCTAGAAGATTACCCATGCTTTTCAAATGTGAAGAGGCCCAAGGGAAAGGCCAGAGGTTAAAGGGGAAAGTTTACTTAGTTAGCTAGATAGCTTAGTGGGGAGATCTGAGCAGGGCTCTTTAGAGAAACCAGCACACCTAATTGTTTTCTACCTCCTGGACCTGGTGCACATACTAAAGGAAACAAAATGTGTTTCCATACCAGAGTCTCCAAAAAGAGGGTCTTGTACAAAGGCCCATATTTACAGGGGAGCTGAGATGGTTGACTAAGGGGTTTTAGAGATCAGCTCTTCTCTCTTCTACCTCAGAAGAGACCCCAGTGCTAAGGGGTGAAATTGGAGGTCAAGGTCACTGGGGTTGTATAAAGAGATTTGTTCTGAAAATAGAAAAATGGGGATCCACTGAGAGAGAAAAAGAGAGTGATAGGGTGTGTTCTGCTGCTCCTCCAAAGAGAGAAGATGGGGAGAGAGAGAAGCTGTTTAGACAGCATCTCATAGTTAACCCCATCCTTTGCAGCCGCCTTCACTCTAACCAGGCAGGCCAGCTCGGGGCCTCTTTTTTTTTTTTTTGTTTTGTTTTTTGTTTTTAAAGGTTCCTGGCTTCTCTCAGCTGGCCTAGCAAAAGGGAACCCCAGCTTCAGGGAGGATGCTCCAGATCCCCACTTCTCCCTCCTGTGGTGTGGGAGTAGGAGAAGAGGAAAAAGAAACCCCAAAGATCCCACACCCCACAAAGCAAAGGCCTGAACAGGCTGGAGCATCCTGTCAGGTTGGGGTGGGGTATAGCAGGGAGAAAGTTAAACCCCTGCCATGTCCCAGAGCAAGGTCCAAAGGGCATGCAAGTGTTAGCCCCTTCAGAGAAGCAAAAAGAAAGGGCTCTGAAGGCCCCCAGCCATGAGCTTGACTATTTGATAATCAAGGGAACTGAGGCGGACAAATGCTCTCAGATGTTTATTTATCAAGAAGTCCCTGTTGCAACGAAACTCCACCTGTCAAAAATCCAAGCCGGGCTTGTTGCCATCATGGCTATAGGGTGTCATCATTAAACACCTGCAGGTGGATGAGTCATTAGCACGGACCATTTGTTACAGAGAATCCCTCTGCAAGGATCACATTGAGCTGAATAAAGAGAACATAGACAATATTGTGCTCAAAACTATATACACGCTAGCTGTGAACACGGTACCAAAGGGGACTGGAAAAGTTGACTCAGTTTGTCTGTTAGCTACAAGTGCCATTTGTAAAGAAAAAGCCTTATAAATAAAAATTACTCCTGCGCTAGGTCGGGGTGACACACAGTGTCACAAACATCGCGGGTGGGAAACTAGAGATACTGGAACTAGTTTAGAGATGAGTTTTGTACAAGCTTGTTGTTTTATACAATCAAGAAAAAAAGAGATACAATTTGTATCAACAAACAAAAGGTCATTTCTGGATATTTGAGGTGTTGCTTTCAGCCGCTTGGATCCCGACATGCTATGGCAGTGTGGCGATGTTGGGGGGAAGCTGGAGGGAGGTGGAAATGAAGAGTTACTGGAGGTCAGAAATACAGATGTTAGTGAAAAGAAAGGTGGGATGTAGGGGGTGGGGCATGAGGCAGTGAGTTCATAAATATATTTTCAATCAGTGCCTTTGGTTTTTTTCAAGAACGGTAGCTAATGGGATGAATTGAGTTTTACAGATCTTTTAAAGGAGATCTTTCAACGACTAGAACTACCCAAAACTTCATGATTTTTAGTTTCACAAATTCAATGCTTTAGGCGTGAAGGCAGTTTCATCTTTCAGTTTTGTTGACTGGAGGCACCAGTCTTGAAGTATCCATTGATCTTATGTGAAATGGCATCAATGGGAGGTATGTGAACATGTGAGTTATAATAGTATGTTTTCATGGAGTCATTAACAATAACCTCACTCCCATCATTCCTGTACTTTAAAATTCAAGGTGGATTGCTTTCATCATAACAATTCTATGAGGTAGGGAGTGCAAGTATTGCTATCCCTATTTATCAGATGAGGAAACTGAGGCCCAGGTAAGGAAAAGGACCTGCCCATGGTCATGCAGTAAGTGTCAGAGTTGGGTCCAGACTCCAGCTCTCTGGCCTCCTTCATTGTTGGACAGAGAATGCATTTTGCACATGAAGGATATTTTTTCGAGGGTGATTTATTTAGGGTGAAAGATGGAATGGAAACACAAATTTGGGGATGGAGTCAGAATTCAAACTGGTTCTCCTGCTCTGTAAATGGTGAGAGCTGAAAAGCCATGCTGGGAGTGATCTGTGCAGTTGCTCAGGGCAGGGACAGAGGACCAGAAAGCAGCACACGAAGCCTTTATCAAAACACCAGAAACAACCCTAACGGCAGCCTCACGATCCGTGTGTTTCACAGTAAGAAACATTTAGGCAGTGTCACACCTTCTCATGAAGAGACAAAAGGCCCAGGCGAGGCCTTCTCAACTTTCATGAAAAAACTACAGTAGGAAGTCAGCAATTTCCAGCTCCCAAACTCTAGAGCTGGCTTAAAATGTTGAAATATACATTAGATTCAAAAAAGGGTATCCATTCAGTGCAGCTTAAGGAAAAAAAAAAACCAACAAAATCCCCAATGGATGCCTCTGCTGGAGGCATTTCACTACAAAGGATTCCACCCTGAGCAAAATACAAATTGCACAAGCCATGCCCCCCCCCTCCCACCCCTTCCCAAATAATGCATCTGAAAAATGTCACTAGGCAAATTGTACACCTTTGGTGTGTGGACCTAGAGTGAGAAGCTAAGCTACCTGATGGCAAGTCAGAGATGAAACATCTATCTTCCCAAAGCTGGGTTGTTCATGCCTAGAAAATGCCCTGCCTTGGGTCTACACGAGAGTGCCATTCCCCCAGCGATTGGTCCTGTTGCCCAATGACTAAACTAGAAGATCGAACTAACCACCTGTCCACACACTCTACCCCACTGAGAGGCTAGGCAGTGGAGAGGGATAAGCAACAGATTGGGACCCAGGGAACAGAATCCAGCTTTGGTACTATTGCCGCTTATAACTATGGGGCTAGGGACAACTTAGGCCCCCTCTCAGGACCTCGGATGCCTCGTATGTAAAAACGAGGGGACTTACTGGATGACTTCGGAGGTCCCTTCCAAATCTGACATTCCATGTTCTGATTGTCCCTTCCAGCAATCACATTCCATGTCTGAAGGGCCCTCCTAGCTCTCCATGGTCTAGGAGTCTACGGCTCCTCATTTTTTGCTCCCAGAGGGGTGAATAACACAGAGCTGGCCAGCCAAATGAGGGCGTGTTTGCCAGTGAAGCTTTAATACTTGTTTGAAATGCCAGTTATTTCAAATGTGATGCTTTGTGCTCGAAGGCATTTCACCGACTAGGTCATGCGATGGCTCCTGATTTTGACAGGAAGCCTCTGAAGGCCAGAGCTCCATGGCTTCCACATGGGACGCCCGGGAAACAAAATTTGCTTCCATTAGCTCTTTCAAAGAGGGATGCTGCAACCTGACCTCAGCTTTATCAAGTGAAGTCATTGAGAGACTTCAAATGTTAAAGAAATGTCAACAAGGATTGACATTTGAAAAAGTACAAAGGGCTGTGGGAGGGGGTGGAAGCTGGTTTGTTCTGTCACCAAACGCAGCAATCTCCCCCACTGCTGGTGAGCCCCTTCCACTTTGATACTCTTTGCTAATGCGAGATGCAGCAAAGATGGCCTAGTTGGCCTCTCTACCTACATGACTGAGTGTAGGTTCAGGACCGTGCAGAGCTCGTTTTCTAAGACTGTGTGTATGCATGTGTGTGTGTATACATATATATGTGTGTGTATATATATACACATATGTGTATATATATATACATACATAAACACATTTTATATATATGTATACACACACATATTTTAGACACACACTAATATAGATGGGCACATCTATATCTCAACAGAAAATAGTATTTATATATATATATGCATATATATATATACACTTAACGCACCCCAGAAAATATACATTCAAACATGCAATATAACTGCTGACGATAGGTTTGCACTTATAGCATTCAAGGGTGAACTGTGACCCCATTTAGTTCATTAAGGATATGTGATGGTCAACTATCCATGCAATAAGAAACACTATCTCCTTTCACACAGCTTTTGAAATTCTTACTTTAAAACAACCCTAAAATATTAAACCTATGTACAATACAATCTGATTTGGGCGCTTTCAGCATCTGCCTTCAGTATACCATTGACATCCTTTTTCCTGTACAGAATCGATTAGGAAGAGAACATTAGTACTGGGATAGCCCCTTTCCCCTGTATCTTCTCTTCCCAGATCGCTCACCCCAAGAAAGGATGGGAGACGAGGCGCCCCCATTAGCGTCCTGATCTCAACTTGGCCACAATTATGGCTGCCAGCTGCTGTGCATCTGTCATGTGGGGATTCTTCTCCATCACCGAGAGAACAATGCCAACCGGGAAGATATTGCAGAGGTTCTTATAGGTCTGGTATTGGTGTTCAGGGATCATGTGATGCTCCCTTGGCTGGCTGCACATCCCAACCCAGGGATTCCTCCAGATCTGCTCCATCTTTTCGGGCATGCTCCTCACCATGACCGGCTCATAACAGGGCTGCATGAGGTTGGTGCTCAAAGGGTAAGAGTGATAACTGTAGGAGTCGGCAGCAGCAGGATAGGGCAGAGGATCCCAGCTGGCATGCTGCTCTCGGCACAAGGGTGGCCGCCTCTGCCTCATCGGGTTGCCATCATAGAGGCGGGAGTCAGAAACACTGTCCATCCGTGTCATCACCAATGCTCGGCCCGGCGGAGCTGTGCCGGGGGGGTGGATGCTCTGAGGCACAGGGTAATCTCCAGGACAACTAGATCGGGCTCCAACTACTGGGTGATGGGCATGCAACACTAATCGGGGTGCTGGATGTTTGTGGGGAGCCTGCTTGGGTTCATCTGGACCGTAACTTTGTACTCTTGTTAAGGCTTCATGGTAACCATGTGAAAAAGGCTGGAGATGGTTTTGTGAGCACGATCGGTTCATCTTCATAGCATCTTCCTGACTGGCATCTACTACACCCAAATACAAATCGCTGTATGAGGAATAAGGATCACTACTTGTATGGCTCATGTGTTTGTCATGGCAGGGGCTGGCATTGCGAGAGTACATGCTGCGCGTGTGACGGTCCGGCTCGGCCCCATAGTAATCTGCACCACGGCCACTGTTGATGCTTAGGTTAGGGAAGTCACTCATCAATGAGTAGTAGCCATGGTCCCCCAAAGACTCGTACTTTGGGTACTGCTCAGTGTAGCCGACAGAGGTGCCATGGCTATTGGTGACCAGGATGGGTGGGTATTGCATACTGGCTGTGTGTTCTAGGGAAGATTTCTGATGGGTGAATTGTGAGGAACCAGGCACTGGGCTGCTTGCAGAGCGGGTGTTCAGGGCACCTGCCGCATGGCTTTTGGAAGGAGGAAGTGTGGGGACACTCAGTGCCGTCACCAGGGTGGGGGCCGAGTTGGTCTCAGGTTTACGAATGATAGGCAGTCTCTCGTCGGTTTCCACACCCACAGACCGGATGCTGGGATCTGACTGGCGTTTGGGAGTGACGCGCTTCCCTTCAGAGCTGGGTTCACTCTTGGAAGCAGGCACTGGGGCCGCGCCACCACCCTTGGCCAACGCTCCCTCACTCATGGTTTTGATAGCTGACAGTTTGGCACTGATGCGGAGCTCATCTGCCACCGCCCGCTGCGGCTGGTTGGCACGCTCTGGGTGGTAGTATTTACACTTGTGGCCATACGTGCACTTTTTGCCTGAAAAATAATGGCTTGGAGTAAGTTTCCCTCTACTAGACCACAGCAATAACCTAGGCCTTCCTTCAGCATTTTCAAAGGCGATGGCCAGAACATCATAGTACATTAGAGCTAGATGAGATCTCAGAGGTCATAACAGTCCAATGCCCTGCCCAGGGCATGGATCCCCCTCTGTTCAATTCCTGACAGATGGTCACCCAACCCTGCAGGAGCACCTTCATCACTAGTGACGGAGAGTTCACTACCTAAAAGACCAGGGCCCACTCCATCATTAGATAGCTCTTGCTAGGAAATCCCACCCCCTCCCTCCAATCTCCTAACATCTCCCTTCCACTCATCCTGGGGGAGCTGAAATTAGTTTCCCTTCAATACTCTCTCCACTGGGGTCAAGTAAAAACCAAGTATCAAACCCCACAGCCTTGTGTGTATCAGGAGGCCTCAATCATGTGGCCCAGTGGAAAGAGCATGGATTTTGGGGCCAGAGGGCCTGTGTTCAAATCCTGACACTGCCACCTGGGTGGCTGTGGGAAAATCACTTAACCTCTCTGTATCCTCATGTGTAAAATGGGGGCCAGAGGGAGATTGGCCTAGCTGATCCTTCCAAATCTAAAACTTTTAGCCTGCTTCCTACACCTGGGATTCAGGTACGTCTCTGAAGATATGCCACAAGCTGTAACCACATCCAACAGAAGCTAAGAACCATTCCAGATTGAAATATTAATGTCCTCATCCAGGCAGGCAAACTTGGGGGGGGGGGGGAAAAAACACTGGCTCTCACCCCAAAGGACCTGGATTCAAATCTTACCTCTGACACTTACTACCTAGGTGGCCTTGGATAAAGTCATCTCATCTCCATCAGCCTTGGTCTATAAAATAAGGAGCAGGACCTCTAAGGTCACTTACAGCTCCAAACCCTGGATCCTATGAGTTTTGTATCAGAAGAAGTCCTTTAGAAGATTAGATTTAAAAGGCCATAAAAAACTGGTAAATGGAAATTGGATAGCATTTGGTAGGGGAAAAGACAACTTCCAACCACGAATGACGATGCATATGCCTCTAGCGCTGTAAGGCTGTTACAAAATACTTTCCACCCCACAAGCTTGGGAAGCAGGCGGTGGGAGAGTTATTATTCCAATTTCATAGACAAAGATGGTGAGGCATAGAGAGGGGATATAAGTTGCCCAGGGTCACCTAGCTAGGATGGAAATCGGGACCTTGGATTTGAAGTTCAACGTTCTCATCATTGAATTTGAGAGGGATGGGGGTGACAGGGTAAGTTTTTGATCCTGTAGAAGAGATTCCTACATCTGGAAAGGGGCTAGACACCCCAAGCTCTTGAGCCAGTCTTTCAGCCTTGGCATAGGCCATTGGGCACTTCTCACCGGGGTCAAATGTCAGGGCCCATACAGGGAACTGGACTCCCACATTGCTAAGGCATCCTACATCCCCACAAGAAGATCCTTACTCCTAATGTGGCAAGTGCTACACAAGTAAGCACCAGTCAATCACAAGATGGGTCGTTTTTTTCTTAGGAACTCAAATTCTCTTCTGCTCAGGCAACAAGAACCTTCTCTTCTGAAGTCCTTGCCAAAAGCTTTAACACAGAGAACATTTCATTTTAATGGGGGCGGGGGGGATGCTAGAAGAGCCTCTGGTTCTACCATTCAGCTTAGGCTAAAACGGAAGCAGAGGCAGAATTTAATACATGGACATCCAGTAGTGGGAAGGGCACTGGAGGTAGGAGGCTGGAGCCTAGAGTTCTAGTACTGACTGCATCTACTAGCTATATTGCCAGGGACAGATCACTTCTACCCCTCCATGAATTTGGCTAATGGTCATCATGTTGGGGGCCGAGAAAATGACTCCCAGTCACCACCCCTCCATGGTGATCTCATCAGCTCTCACAGATTAATTACCATCTCTATGCTAATGATTCTCAGCCCTAACCTCTCTCCTGATCTCTACCGGCATCTCCAACTGCCTCTCAGACATCTCGATGGATTTTCAGTAGACATCTTAAACTCAGTATGTCTAAAATGGAACTCATTATTTTTCCCCTTAAACCCTCATTCCTCCTACTTTCCCTGTTACTATGGAGGGCAACACCATCTTCCCAGTCTCTCAGGTTCACAACCTAGGAGTCATCCCGGACTCCTCACTATCTCTCACCCATATTTAAACTGTTGCCACAGCTGCTGATTTCACCTTTGTAACATCTTTCAAATACACCTGGTACGGGCCTCACCACTTCACACCTGGACTATTGCAATAGCGATAGCAGGACCTGCCTTGAGTCTCTCCCAACTCTAGTCCATCCTCCATTTAGCCACCAAAGCGATTTTCCTAAAGTACAGGGCCAGATCACGTCATTCCCCCAACTCAATAAATTCCAATGACTCCCTATTGCCTCCAGGAGCAAATACAACATGCTCTGTTTGGCATTCAAAGCCCTTCATCACCTAGCCCCTCCTACTTCTCCAGGCTTCTCACACCTTACTTCCCTACCCATACTCTTCAGCCCAGTGACCCTGGCCTCCTGGCTGCTCCACAAACAAGTCACTCCATCTGGGCTCTGGGCATTCTCTCTGGATGTCCTCCATGCATGGAATGCTCTATCTCCTCATCCCTACCTCCTGACTTGTCTGGCTTCCTTTAAGTCCTAACTAAAATCCCACCTCCAACAGGAAGTCTTCCCCTATCCCTCTTAGTTCTGGTGCCTTCCTTCTGTTCATTATTTCCTGTTTATCCTGTATAGGGCTTGTCTGCATATATTTGTTTACATGTTGTCTCCCCCATTAGATTGTAAGCTCCTTGAAGGCAGGGACTGTCTTTTGCCTTTTTTTTTTCTTTTTTTTTGCTATCCTGAGCACTTAACACAGTGTCTGCCAAATAGTAAGCACTTAATAAATGTTTATTTACTAGCTGTGTGACCCTGGGCAAGTCACTTAACCGCAATTGCCTTAAAAAAAAAAGGAAAAAAAATGTTTATTGACTAATTGATGGTCCTCTCCAAGCTGAAGAAAGCTGGGCCTTAGATGACAACCATATAGTCTCTCCCTGGGCTTAACCTTAAAGCTTCTCCAGCTTCTTGCAAGGACCTGTCTGAGCCTTCCAGATACCAATGTTACCTGCGTACCACACAGAGGCACTGGAGAAGCCTTTTAACAGAGCTTCCCTTAGGAAGGAGTCACTCCACAAACTCAAGTATCCAGAACTATAAAGGGGGCCCTCAGAGGTCATCTAGTCCCACCCCCTCATTTTACAGAAGAGGAAACTGAGGCACAGGGAGGGGAAGGGATTGGCCCAAGGTCACACAAGAGCCCACAGAGGCCATCTAGTCCAACTTCCTTATTTTACAGAAAAGGAAACTGAGACCCAGAGAGGATAGGTGACCTTCCCAAAGTCATCCAGATGCCAGGATTTGGAGTCAAATCCTTTGACTTCTAATCCATCCTCTTCCCCATTTCTCTGGCTTAAGAAGCAGGTCTACCAATGAGTATTGACAACTACTGTGCAACTAATAGTCTTTGAGGGTTGCTGGGGCAATGAGAGTTACATGACCTGTCTAGCATCACAGTGCCATTGAGTATCACAGGCTGCCCAATCCTGCACCTGATCATGCTGGCCAGTAGGCCACACTGCCCTTCCTGGAATAGTAATAATAATCAAAAAGAGAAAAATATTCAAGGGATTATTCACTGACCACTTCACCCCTCTGTGCCTCAATTCCCTCATCTGTCAAATGAAGATGATCACCCTTGCATTGCCTACTTCGAAGCGGCATTATGAGAAAAGTAGTCAGTAGACCCTAGAGTGCCAGACAAACATGAGTTATTATTGTTATTCTTAATTATCATCAGAGTAACAATTGTTATCATAATGATGCCAAAATGGAGAAAAATGCCAAAGTGGAGCCTCAGTGTCCTCATCTCAAAAATGGAATAATGATACTACACCATGTCCCTTTCCAGGCTGTTGTAGGGAAAGTGCTTGGTATACTGCAAAGGGTTAAAATCATGGGAGTATTAGTAGGATTCTTGGACATATAACTTAGTCCTCCAGCTGAGTACCTACCATAAGGGCATGGCTGCTTCTTATGTTCAGGAATCACAGGTTTCTTTCTTAAGAAATTTTCCAGACTTGGGCCATGGCGCCCTAAGGGGTCATCTGGAGGCATAAACCTGGAAGATACAGTATGAGAAATTAATTATTTCCCTCATATTTAATAACTAATTATTGAATCAGGGGCAAAGTTTTTTTTTCCCTTTTTCTACTTCCTCATCCAGAAACCGACCAGTGTGGAAAATCTCTAAAGAGATTTACCTAGGCCAAGATTGAAATGTCTCTTAGAGATCTGCCAGGCCAAGATCTAATCAGACAGTTAAAGAAATTCTAAGTTTGGGCTAATGGGTATAGTCCTACTTATTGTGTTTGCTGGGACAGGTCAGGGAAAATGTGGATCCTCTCTTTTGTCTTAAAAAGTGATATGGACATTGATGTCTCTTTGACCAAAATTTGAGTGACCTAAGTCATGTACCCCAAGATAGCCCACCTCCCATTGTGTTAACCAGTCAGAGCTGATGGTCACTCCTCAGGAACACTTCCTCTTCAAAGAGCATATAAACTGTGAGTCCACCGCCATGAGAGGTCTTTGGTCTAAGAGAGATGGCCAAATAACCATCCTTTTATTAATAACATGCTGGCCTTATTCATAAAATGATTAAATTACCCAGAAACTATGTCTCTCAGACCTTTTTAATCATCACAATAGAAAGGTGTGAATGCATTCCTAGTGATAATTGGGCTCAAGGGTTCTCTGGGCTCAGAGAGAAAATCCATGAACTCTAGAATGCAAAGCCTGCTTTTTTACCCTCTTTACTTTTCCAACAAGGCTCATATGGAAATATGTTTTGCATGACTTCACATGTATAATTGATATCATATTGCCAGCCTTCTCAGTGGGTCGGGGAAGGGCTGGAGGGAAGGAGAGAATTTGGAACTCAAAATTTTTAAAAATGAAATGTTAAAACTTTTTTTGAAGTATAAAAAATAGAGTTCTCTGGGGCCCCAGGGCCCCGAACCTACTTGTCATTGACAAAGGAAAACATGAGTAGCCTCTCTTCGATGAATTTCTTCCACTCAGGCTTCTCATTCTGAAGATCCCGGTAGTTATCATTGGACACAATGATGCCATCAGAGTCAAAAGCCAACTTGACAATGAAACGGTCATCATAGCAGACGACCCTCCTGCCTTGTACTCTTCGGGATGGAGTGAAGACAAGAATCTTTTCTTTCTCCAGTTTACGTAAGATATCTTGATCTGCAAAATAGATTAGATGCCAAAAGACAGTCCAGAATGGAAGTCCAAGATTGTTAGATCATCTGTATATTCAAGAAAATGTTTCTTATTGTTATCTTTTGTTTTGAGATTACCTTCATTTGTGAATAGACACACCCTTCTCCCTTTCCCTCCCCCGGAGACATCCCTGGTAATAGAAAAGCATTTCAGCAAAACCAACCAACTCATTGATGGGATATTCCATGGTTGTAGAGTGTTTTCTAAGCCACAAGCCACATATGGGAACGGAGAGATGGTGGACTTGGAACGAAGAGACCGGGGTTTAAATTCTGGCTCCGCCACTTCTTAGCAGTGACCCTGCAGAGCGTCACAGAAATTATCTGAGCCTCAGTTTCTTCATAATGGCAATCCAGACACCATCTACCTGGCAGAGGAGGGGGAGGCCTACAGGGAGGGTCATGCTTTAGAAATGGGAAGGCCAGTCCTTTCATATCCATCCTCCCCTTGGGCACTTGAACACCTCTGGGATGGAGTCAGCAAAGGCTCATCTCCCCTTTTGCCAATGGAGGAGGTGGCCAGAGAGGGGGTGTGCCAGCTCTGCAAAGACAGGTCTCAAGGCCCCTGGGCCAATGCTCTTTTCACTCTCCTGGGTTGCCTGGTAACTGAAGAGCAAGCTATTGTAGCTGAAAAAGCAAGCTGGAGAGTAGGTGTGGGAACAGGGACAGAGAGAGTCAAGACCCCTTCAGCAGGAGCCAGAGGGTATGCAGACATACTGTTCACTCCGGAGGCTGGACAAACAGAGCACATGTCAGTGACAGTGGGGAGCTCCTTCCCCCACTGGGAAGCACCAGCCAGCGGTTACTGGTAAACCTGCAATACTCCTCATGTGGGGTCTCCTCTCCCACCCAAGAAATACAGTAAGGTCAACAGAAAGAACAACAAACGATTAGGAATTACAATGACTACACTGTGTCCTACAGAAGAGCTGGGAAAATGTATCTCCCTGGCCTCTTTGCAAAGGTGGTGAGCTATGGGTGTAGAATACTGTATGTACTTGGTGTCAGGTGCAGATTAGTTTTTGTTTTTTTTTTAAGTGAGGCAATTGGGGTTAAGTGATTTGCCTAGAGTCACACAGCTAGGAAATATTATGTGTCTGAGGCTGGATTTGAACTCAGGTCTTCCTGACTCCAGGGATGATGCTCTATCTACTGTGTCATCTAGCTGCCCCATGTGCGGATTAGTTTTGCAGACTTGCTTTTATCTTTCTCTTTTATTCTTCATTCCAAGGGCAAAGAAGAGAAGGGATAAACTTGGGAATGAAGGTTATGATTAAAAACTAAAGATAGCAATCCAAATGAAAAACTACTAAATAGTCTCTCCAAAGCATCTTCAAGATGTGGTGCTACCACTGAGTTTCGGAAGACCATGCCAGGGGCACCCCAAACTGAATCTGCCATACAATGAACAGAGAAGCTTACTACCAGAAGGCTGGCCACCAGACAAGAGCAGTTTTAGTTACAGACACTCGTGGAGCTATCTGGTAAGGCAGAGATGGGCTACAATCTGCATTGGTGGAGGGAGTACTCACAGCAAGGACATAATGAGTCCCTAAAATATCAGAGTAATGTATGGTAGTGGCGAGAGCAGTCCAGAGATCTGAATTCAAATGCTGCTCATGCCCCCTCATGGGCTGTAAGTCATTGAACAAAAAATAACTTTCTCTCTCTTAACCCATCTGTTGTGACAGATACTAGCCCTTGGAGCACCTATGGCCCAGGCAATCAGGGTTAAGTGACTTGCCCAGGGTCACACAGCTAGTACGTGTCAAGTGTTTGGTCTGAGGCTGGATTTGAACTCAGGTCCTCCTGACTTCAGGGCTGGTGCTCTATTCACTGCGCCACCTAGCTGCCCCCATGAAGGGCTTTTGTAAATGAGAAAGCACCAGAGGGGAGGGAGCTGGCATTGTTGGCAAAGCTCTTGCCAACACAGCCTAGAACCACTCCAAGTGGCCTTGCCCATGCCCACCCTGGAGTCATGCTCTTCCTCCTTCAATGCCTGTCTCTAGTTAGCAGAAGAACTGCTGGGATCACCTGAAACTCCTCTACTGGCCAGGCAGCAGGTTCTACACACACTAACTGAAATAGGTACTAAATTAGGTAGTAAAAGGAGTGCTGCCCTGGGAGTCAAGAGCCCTGAATTCAAGTCCTGGCTCTGGCACTTAGTAGTTTTTTGCTGCCAAGTCTTTTCCTCAGCTTCCTCCCCTGGAAAACGAAGGGTTGGGACTAGATGATCTCTAAGGCGCCTGACATTCTTTGTTCTCTGTCTTAAGGTTCCACCCTGTTCTGAAAGTCTATATCGTCAGGGCCCTCCCAGCACTGACATTCAATGTCCTAAGAGCCCTTCCAGCTCTGACAGTGTATGTTTTAAGTCACCTCCCAGATCTGACATTCTGTGCTCTAAGGTTCCTCCATCGCAGCTCTGCCATTCCCTGTTCTAAGACCCTTCCCAGATCTGACGTTCTCAGTTACAAGGTCCTTCTCAGCTCTGACATTCTTTGTTCTAAGGCCCCTCCCAGCTCTGACATCCTGTGTTCTAATGCCCCTCTCAGCCCTGACCTTCTGTGTTCTAAGGCTCCTCTCAGCTCTGACATCATGTGTTCTAAGGTCCTTCCCAGCTCTGGCATTCTTCGTTCTAAAGCCTCTTCTAACTCTAACATTTTACGTTCTAAGGTCTTTTCTAGATCTGACATTAAGTGTTCTAAGGCCCCTCCCAGCTCTGACATTCTATGGTTCTAAATACTTGAAAGCAGAGTTTTTCCATTAGTCTTAAGACTTCATTTAAAACGTTATATTTCAAGTCTTGTATTTTAATAAGATTTCCAGCAGACTAAAGAAGAAACAAGAACAAACAATGACTGGCATAGTCAGCCTCATGAGTGAGAATAGCCGGCTGCTGCAACCTGCCTGAAGAAATGCTTCTGCTGGGGAAAGCTAGGTGGCGCAGTGGATAGAGCACTGGCCCTGGATTCAGGAGGACCTGAGTTCAAATCCAGCCTCAGACATATAACACTAGTTGTGTGACCCTGGACAAGTCACTTAATCCCGTTGCCTAGCCAAAAACAAAACCAAAAAAAAAAAAAAGAAAAGAAAAGAAATGCTTCTGTCTGGCTACGTACTGAGGAAGCCAGGAGAAAACAGTACTGTAGCTGAGTTAGTAAATGACCTGCATATAAGTCCCTATATATAATTCCATGGATCAAGGGCAAAGCCAACTGGACCCTCATCCCCATCTCCTTCTGGGCTGCAGCTGCAGTCATTTTATAAGATTCCTAAGCAGCCTCTTAGGCTTCCCAAGGGGTTATGTCCACCAGCTGCTGCGGAGGTCAGTAGCTCAAGCCTCAACATTGTCCCTTGGTCCCCTGTCCACTTGGAATCAAGCACAGAGAATGTGCTTGATGGGACCTTAGAACAAAGAAAAGCTTAGAACAGAGCTAGGAGGGTCTTAGAACATAGGACATAGAATGATAGAGCTAGGAGGGACCAGAGAACAGAGAATGGCATAAATGGGAGGACTCAGAATAGAGAAAGTCAGGGCTGGGAGGGATCTTAGAACAAGAATGTCAGAGCTCAGAGGGGCCTTAGAACACACAATAAGAGAGATGGGAGGGACCATAGAACAGAGACTGTCAGAGCTGAGAAGGGTTTTAGAACACAAAATGTCAGAGCTGGGAGAGACCTTAGAACAGGGAATGTCAGAGCTGGGAGGGACCTTAGAACAGAGAATATCAGAGCTGAGAGGGACCTTAGAACAGGGAATGTCAGAGCTGGAAGGGGCCTTAGAACAGGGAATGTCAGAGCTAGAAGGGGCCTTAGAACAGAGAAAATCAGAGCTGGGAGGGGCCTTAGAACAGAGAATATCAGAGCTGAGAGGGACCTCAGAACAGAGAATGTCAGAGAAATAAGGGCCTTAAAACAGGGAAGGTC